CCAACTCTTTACGTCGTCTACTGGGACTGATCACTGATGCAGGAGAATGGTATGGTTATCACTCACGTCAACATCAATGCCCCGTGCTCATGCACCGCAACACTCACTCATGGGCCATCAAGTCCATGCCATCGGGGCCCCGGCTTTCTTGCCCTGGTCCCCCGGTCCCGGCATTTGTATCCTGACAGGGGTGACGGCCTCGTACTGTAAGCCTCACAAGCAACAGTGATTGTTGTACTGTTGGCTAGGCTCCTCCGCAAACCGCCATCACCGAACGCAGCTCAGTGGAGGTTGGAGCCACTGTACCTACTCTATGGCCCAGCGTACGGCCTAAACTCCATGGGATCTTAGGTCGGGGAGCACCTCTCGGTCGATAGTTAATAATCATTGATGAGATGAGCTGACATTTTCTTTCTGATTCTGGTTGTGAAGCCCTACGTTATGATTTAGCCGCTCCTGTGTTGGGAAGTGCGTCGAGACGCTTAAAATGACACTACTGAACCACCGCGCTTGTTGAAGAATCGCTTTGGCAGCGTAGCTTGGGAAGCCAAACTGTGTGATATTGTCCATGTCATCCTTGTTACCTCCAAGGATCTTCAGGTTTACTTTTGATCTTGCATCCTAGTTGGCACTTATGCTGGCAGACCCATCTTCCGTGGCCCTGGGCCAGGAATGTCTTGGTCGCCTGTCATCAAACAAACCTACCGACGTGCTATGCTGTGCTGTGCTGTTACTTCAGCGGTAGTGCTAGCCCACCACCGCCGAGGCAAGGTCCAGAACAGAAAGAAAAGGAGACTATGTAGATCCAGGCAGTGACATATGCTAGGAGAAAGTATTGAACATCATCCATCGATCTCTGACCTGTCGATAACCGCTTAGGGAGCCCATGTTGCACCCAGCTTGCTTTGGGCCAATATAACATCACGGTGGCGCTCCAACTACACTTCGTTGTCACCACCCTGTTTATTATCCACCATTTTAGTCGTCGGTACTCATCCAGTGCTAAATCCACAAGAGACTACATACTAGACCATCTTGGTCGGTTTAGCCTCCGATTCGATCTGAATCCCTCACACCCCCAGACCCCCCTTTCCTGGTCCATGGTTTAGTTGCCGCTAGATACCTTACATTATCTTTAAGAGCATAGAACCCTGGCCTGGTCTGCGTTGACCCTAGAGGTCGATCGTCTTCGGGACCAGAGGTCAAATACATGCCAGGGACCACATTTTGATCTGGTCAGAAACCTGATCCTATTATTGTTGCCAGCATCTCTGAGCTTGATCTTCCATCACAGCATACCTTTACCTGCTGCCGCGCTGGGAGTTTCTTCTCTGTTGCTCTCTCTTTGTGCCAGAGTCAGAAAGCCCTCTGTTGGTCAATGTTAACGTCGTTCTCATTGAAAAGCCGTACCACAATTGCGACCCAGGCTCTTCAGTAACGTCTTCAGGGACGTTCTCTCCCATACGTCTTCGTTTTGTGTACCGATGCTGTGAGGCATCGGTACTTCTATCCAAGTGTGTCGTCCCCGGCATAGACTACTACCTCCGCAAGGGCTTCTAGCTCCAGTTACAGCTTGCACAAGCTCTCAACTCAACTCAATTCGATCCGGTTGTTCATTCTTTTCAAGCAGTCAAACTCGTCTTATGCTTTAGATGAATGCTGAAAGAGTGCCCAGCTAAACTCATTGCCGACAACTACAATCATAACCACAATCACTACACTGCACTGCACACTGTCCATGGCCATCGCGATAACGTCGCAGGACTGCTCGAAACTCTATTCGTCTGGAGCTGGAACATCGTGGGAGAGTACATCGTCCGAGCTTCCCATGATTGGCGTTATGTCTTACCACTATCCACCACTCTCCCCCGTCAACAATGAGATAAGTATGCCACCCCAAGGCTTCATGCCTTCCTATACACTTCCTTCTCAACAACTCTCTTCCATGACGATGGTCGACCCTCATACCCCATCACTAGGTCAAGATCATGGTCTGGATATGAAGGGGTCCTACTTAGCACCGAACAATGCCTCATTACTGGCTTCCGAGGCAGAAGAGCAACAGCAAAACGGGAACTTGGGCGAGAAGAAGAGAAACAAGCTGGGTTACCATCGTACTTCGGTGGCTTGTGGTAGGTCTAGGTCTGCCAATACATGAGTGTGCTCGTCTTAACTTGTTTTCACAAGGTCACTGCCGGCGCCGAAAGATCAGATGCATCACGTCGCCTAATGATACACAAGGACGCTGTATCAACTGCATCCGTCTGAAGAAAGATTGCAGCTTCTTCCCTGTAGACCAAGCATCGATTGACGAATCACGAAACAAGCCAACATCGAAATCTTCTACAGGTCCAAAAGGAAACTCAGCAACCTCGTCTCCGGCAACTCCGATCAGCAATCCAGTTGAGCAGCCGAAGAAGACAAAGCCACCATTTGTGCCATCGTCAAAAAGACCTGGGCCAATTGCAGTTCCCAAAATTACAGAAGCTGAAGGAGTCAAAGGGTTCCCACCTCCAACAAAAGGTTCATCCATGATTATCAACTCTTTATAATGTTAAAGCTAATTGAGAGTTGCAGCTTCAGGGACTTCACCTACAAGTATGACACCTCCGGAAGCGGGAAACCAACATCCTGCCAGCTGGGTAATTACCGCGCCTGAGCAAAGCCCAACTTCGTCCTCGAATCTAAGTACTCCATGGCATACATATGCCACAGGCTCTCCGATGAGTGCGCAGTTTTCTCCATTTACCTCTGTGAACCATTCCCCATCTGGATGGCCCCCTGTGAACTCGGAGCCAGTACCCCAGGGTGACATGGACATGGCCTGGGGTCAGTTTGCACCACCAACACGGTCCATGTCGTACGGAGGAGAGCCTCTGTCCAGCAACCATCCTTCCCAGTACTCTTTAATGGCCCCAGGTCGACAATTCGAGCGAAGACCATCCGCTTTGTCCGACGCCTATGCGACTTCTATGAACGGTGTCGTCTCTGGGTTCGATGACTCCAGCATGAATACAGCGGTTCCGTTCCCACCAAACGCGGTGCCTGCGACCAACTACCCAACATGGAACCAGACACAGACATATCCTGGATACACATATGTGAAGAATCCAGAGACTTATGGTGATGATTGGTCCCATGAAAGGAGGGGACAAGACCAGCAAATTCAAGGAAACTCTGGTCAACAGGTCATAAATAATGCGGCCATGCATACATATCAAACCCAACGATAATGGTCTACAGCACAGAATATATCTTGGGCTTGTAATGGGACAATAATGGTTTAGGGAAGCGGCGTTGATGAATTGCTCAGTCCATCAAGTGATCTGAGTCAGACTTATAATGATATATACATCTTATTTCGGCGTTAATCTGCTGTGTTACTGTGAGCTGAGGAACTGCCTGCGGCCTTTTGAATCCCAGTTCACCTTAAATCCAGTAATCCATACCTGTATTATTCCATAGGGTAACCTCGTAGGTTAAAATAGATTGACTTTGAATCAGTTGCTTTGAATCTTCCTTTTTGTGACGAAACATATCTGTTTTTCAAGCTCTCGCAGCTTTCATTGGACTCTGATAGCGGCATCGACCCATCAGCCGGTCGTTGTAGACGTCGAATCAAAAGTCTTGGCTTTGGTCCGACAACCATATATAGCTCGGCATCTGCTCATATCCAGGGGCAACAGAGAAACTACCGCATGGAGTGGATGGGTCCTTTTTGCCATGGATAACAGTGAAATATACATCCCATTTCGACATGCGTTTCTTGAAGTTGCTCTTTCGTAGTATCGTGCTTCCGCCATTTCCCATTACCAATAGGAATCATTCTATGAATGCAAAGCTACTATGTAAATAGAATAAGGTTTAATCAAAAACCAAGATATAGTCTCATATCCCGTTCGTGGCTCATAGGCGGTTGCTATCCGTTCTAGGTAGCTTTCCCATCTTCGTTTATCTAGCCCGGAAGATAACAAGACGAGACAAAGCGCACATGATATAACAACCCATTCTATATAAAAGGCCCTAGGCTTTAACAAGGTGGCGTCATCAGTCCAGAAAACCAGGAGAACAAGAGCTGGGATGAACCAAGAGAACCCTCGTGTCACACCGGCCAAACGCACGGTGTGGTCTGTTATTCCAGTGCCATCTTCACTGCCAGGGGATCCAAAGGGCGGCAAGAGATTCGATCGTATTTGTAATTAAAGATCGTAGTGTACTATGAACGGTTGAGGTTATCAAGGATGAGCTTCTGGCGGAGGCAAAGACAATGGGTCAGGTAACCAGTCGTGCAGAGTTCGCCTACACAAACTTCTAGGCACTCCTCCATGATTATCTCGAGAATTCGAGAATTTTTGATGCATTTTTAGTGTTGCAGGATCATTCAAAGCTGTAGTACTGGATATTTAGGTGACCAGACTTTTACTGGAAGGGTTGAAATATTTCTAAGTTTATAGTAACGTCAAACTTTGTCATGAGTGAATGACCTTTCCCCATAGAAAAACCATGTGGTTGTTAGCATCGTTATTGAGAGTATTTATTATGGAATAGAGGTAAATACTTATTCCAGTTAAGAGTCTATACAAGATAAAAGGTTCATTTGAACATGTGGCCTTGTTCTATCTTACTGGGGCATTGATTAGACTTGCATAAACTCGATGTCTGCACTTGAGATCTACTGATGAGAGACATGCTCAGTAATAACAAAACTTTGAATCTTTTCAATCATTACATCTACTGCAACAGTTGTGGTGATGGTCTATTGCTATATATTCTCCAGCGCGCTTGGGGCTAATATCTCCTTATCTTCCCTCTGAAATGTGAAGACCTAAATACAACGGAGAGAAACAGGACGCAGGCAGCACACAGAAGGAGAGAATATTTTTTTATTCAAATGTGCAAGGCACTGCTTTTCTGAAGGGATTTGGTGATATCTTGAGATATCCAGGTGCTGTGTTGCATGAGAACTGGTACCTCCTAACAAGACAGTGCAGAAAGTGACTTTATGAAACCAGGCGCCACGTCAAAACCATCAAAGTTATATACGCACTCAGGCTCAGCATTGTCAACAGCAATACACTATTCCCGCTCGTCCTGAATTTCCGCTTCAGTGACCCGTCCAGGGACTCAGAAGTAAAGAACTGGTTCTGGCCTTCGTATCGGCGGTATATGGCTACTAGCATTACCGCGACTCCATACACGGCAAATAGGGCACCGATGGCATAGAACTCTTCGGTGAATACTTTGAGGATGATGAGGGCGAATGAGAACTGGCCGAGAGCTGTGCGGACATAGGCACCTTCAAAGGTACGCTGAGCTGCTCTGACCTCGACGAGCCTGTACATATCAGTAAGGTGCATCGTTTTTATATCGAGTCTTCCAGGCGCGGGCGATAACATCTCTTAGTCCTCATATGACATAGAATTTGTGTTGTTGTCCCCGAGGCGAATCCTGTCTCGGTGGTACTGAACTTACTCTTGTGTCGTCAATACAACTGAACGTGCTCTGTGAAGGCGGAGGTGAAATTGGTCACCGGGATGAGGCTATGTTCAAGATACATTCTCAGCATCCATCCAAGACTAATATATATAAAGCTCAACTTCGGCTACCAACCTGGAACATGGTAAGCGTATTGGCTCCTGAGAAAGTGCGAGCAACAATGACGCATGTGATTATGTGTATTTCTCTGAGCGTTGTGTATAGCGAGACGTATGTAATTTAGCGGGCGGTTATATTCTCGAATTTCACGAAGATGCAATTCAGTCTCGTTCTTGCGTGCAGGTGGAAGAGCTGAGGTTAAGGAGCTCAATTCCGGTTTAGCGGGCGGGAAATGTCATGGGTGCCGCTCCCATGTACTGGTCACGGGTAGGCACACTCCTTGAGAATTTGACCCGTTCATTCTCAACTTTATCTTTCGCTATTGATATGATGTTAATTGAAGCCTTTCCGTCGGAGTCTATGAATAGAGAACGCACCTAAGGAATTTAGTTATGTCATACCCATCGCATATCGACACAGTAATCTAGGTATGCAGGTAGTTGCTTATTCACGTTGTACGAGATCATCGGGTTCATCACGTGTATACTTAAACCGTCCAATATGTTAATAAATTCAACCTTCAAGTATCATTTATACCCAGAGAGAAACGAAATCTGACGAGGAGGATACAGTCCCACTGCGACCTGTGTGTCTCTTATCATAGAAGAGCTCAAACCTTCATCGTTCGTTTTGCAATGCACTACCAAGCATTCGATCCACAACCTCTCAGGCTCTCAGCCTTTACACAGCAACGAAGCAAGCTTTTGGGCTCTGACACCTTTTAATATGGCCTGTACAGTCTCAAGCTCAGGTTCGGGACTTGATTGCTTGGCCTCGGTGATTTAGTTCGTCTACTTGGCCCCCTATCCAATTGATTGCGATCTTGACCTCCTCAAGTTGCACAATAGTTGCCCAGTCAGAAACGCAATATACTATGACAGGACTACGCAGATAAAAATAATGACAAAGAGTCTTACGAGGCCAGACTTCAGACCTTGATTAAGAGGGATAGTCTTGAAAATTAAATCCCTTCCAGCCAGATGAACCAGCATTTAACAATAGTCAATCCCCCTCGCGACATCGCAACAAGACTTGATCACGTCAGGAAGCAGCATGTTAACTTTTAACTGTTTTATCCCTCATTTTCAGGTATCTAGCCAGGGTACTCCTCATGTCAAGTGATGAACAACTAGTAAAGCCACTTTTCGCCAGCCATGTGCGTCTTCCACGCTGCTCCGCCAGCTAGATGTACAGAAAGTATCGTAGTACCAGTCTTTCATGGTACTGCGACATTGCGGCCTATGCCTATTACGGACAAAATATAAATACATTCCAGGCCTGAGGGTGATATGTAATTCCCATCTTCCCAGCATTTCTGTTGTGGGAAGGGTTTGTTTGAATATGTAGTGAAGAACAAAGAAAAGAGGTGAACCATTCCCGTTTTGTAAGGTCAGGGGGTATAGGTGCGACAATATGCGCAGTTGGGATGTTATAGGTAGGTATCCATGATTCTAGGATACTGGTATCAAAAAGACTGTCGAATAGGGTACCGAGTAACAGATGCGAGTCATGCTGTGCCTGGCCAAGGTATGGCTTCTGTAAAAAGGGGTAATTCGTGTCCCCAAGGGTAAGCCACTGAGAGGCCGAGACATCTGGTATCGAAATGTCTATTGCGAACAGCGCCACAGTCGTCAGGGAAAGCTTGCTCCCGAGACATGTTTTAGAAGCCAAAAATGCAAGTCCGGAAATCGCCAAAGCAGATGCAGTTAAGAGAGAAGAAAAGAATAATGCGCGCCCTAATGCAGAATGGGAGTAAGTTGGCTCCTGGTGAATGAGGCTCCATCGTTGGACCATGTAAAGCGTGAAGAGTTGAAAACCATGAATGGGTCTGTCTGCTGATGATGCGTAAAGAGTAGAAAAAGGAAAAATAACAGTCGATGAGTGAGAACTCGTGTCAGTGATCTAAAAGCGAAGAAGTCGTTGCGGTCGTGGTGGTGCTATGAGCATGATAATGATTAATCGTGGTGAGGATTAGTTGAAAGGACAAGTTGTCGGAGCACATCAAATTACAGCGCTGCGGTCGGATTGGCCGCTGGATTCATCAAAGCGGATGGAGAAGTATGAAGAATCCACTTGACAACATCGTCGGGAGGAGACGATAAAGAAGAATGACCATAGACCTGACGGAGCAGACAAGGTGAAACCAGCACCGATAGAGTCGAACTCTACCACGCACAAAAAAGACCAAGTCGCAAAGATCAAAACGTCTAATAAGAGGCCATACGGCGAGCATGGGATCGGTCGCCAATGATGGGGGAGGCACCGAGGAGGGAGATTGGTGCATGGAGAATTCGTGACTGAGGTCTGCTGGGAGCAGTAGGTGACTCGTCCACACAAGGCTCACGTTGGCCAAAAGCAAAAGTCGCGGCACGGCTGAGACCTTTACGAGATTTCAATCGGCCCATTTCGCGTTCGCAAGTGCGCTGGTGAGCCTCATCAGACATCTCAACGTATTCTTGAGGATAGCAACGACCCCGGTGTTCCGTGAAGAAGCCCGAATATCCACCGTCCAGAATGTAGACTTCGGGATATGTAAGTTTGGGGTAGAATTCAGCATTCACGGTGCGGTCCTCAGATCGAACATGACGAGCCATCAGGGGGGCACGGTGGGCTGAATACTCGCAGTGGAAGATGAGAAGCGTCCGTCCATCCATAGGAGTCTGGAAGAGCTGATTTGTGAGCAGGTCCTTATCATTGTAGTTGACAGCACCGTCAATGTGGCCGCCCTCATATTCATATTCAAACCGGCAGTCGATCACGATCTTCTGGTCGAAGTGGGAGCTGTACTTGCCATCCAAGACGTCGACGAGTGTCTCTCGACTGATGCGAGGAATGGTATCAGTGGGGTCTTCCAAAAGGAAATGGGGGAGGACGGGCTCTTGAGCCTCCTCCACATCCATGACCGATTGAAGCGCGGAAGAGGTGGTCTCCTCTCCCTCTGAATTGCTCTTCATTATGTCAGCGGGATGCTCGAACATGCTTAATGACCGACGGAACTGTTTTCGATTTCTGAGAAAGGGATTGGACTGTCGCCGGGAATGTGAGTTCATGGAAGGAGAGCCATTGCTGCGGGAGCATGCGTTGAAGTTGAGGAATTGGGGTCTAGTGCGGCCGATAGAAAGACCAGGGCATGGGCTGTTGGCAGATGCGGGCCTGCGCTCCTGAGGTGGTGATGTTGACTCGAAACATTCGCTGAGAGACAGGTTGGAGCTGGTATGGTTCAGGCGAGAGCCAGCACCGAAGCGGAACGGAGGCAGCTCCGTGTCAGCCTGACGACTCGGTACGGCCGTCGTACTGAAACCCTTCATCCGGGTTAGGGATGGTCTTCGTGGGACAGCTATTCTACGGTTTCTAAACGACGTCAGATGAGGTTTCAGGAGGAATGTGGGAATGTGAGACTGACTCAGCCGCGATGGGCTTGGGAGGTTCCAAGGAAGACTGCCGAGAGATAGGAGCCGGGGAATCAAGAATCATTTCATCGTCAGCGGCTGGTGTAGACCCCGGAGTTGGAGAAGTTATCTCGAACTGGGTGAAGAAAGGTGTCTTGTGAGGCAGAGGTGATACCTCCATCAACTCCTTGAGCTCTGCCAGTGGGGCAGGCGACGAGGATGGTAATGGGGGAGTCGTGACTGAATCTAGAGGAACATGCCAATTAGCCACGAGGTTCTTTGTCCTAGACCTTGTTGGTCCTGCTCACCTCGACCTTCCAAGCTGCCCATCATGCCAGCCGTGAAGAGTGCTCTTCTGGGAGTGGGGAACTGAGGACTGGAAGTATGTTAGCCAAGACACTGTAAAACCGATTGCCAGGCACTGCAACCAACCTTGAATCGCTGTCAAGTCGGAAGTTCTGGGAAAGATCAGCAGCCAAACTCGCAGCGGGCGATGAGCCTCGTACGTCCTTGACGTTGAAATAGTCTCCAGAATGCTTGTGCATCTGCTCGCGCAGGCTCATGCTTGCAGATGTGACAGATGATGTAGAATAATGAGGGTGCCCGCGAAAGACATCTCGACTACCCCAACTAGGGAGCATTGACGGGCGGTGTAATGCCGCCAGAGGTGAAGAGGCTTCCATGGTGAATGATGGCAATGAAGCAGCGGGACGATTCGAGGGAACCCGGGTTTAATCGAGTTCTGTCGAAGCACGTCAGCTACTAAGAGCTACTCGATATCGAAGACACGGCGATGGAGTATTGAAGAGGTAGTTCTGCAGTAAGTCAATGCTGCAGCAACACCTCTGTAATGGTATCGAACGAGCGTCTGGGCAAAGGCCTTGAAGCCAAGGTTTGCACAGATTGAATTGTATTAAAATCGGCTCGTGGGCGAACCAAGTATTAGATGGATGATGGGAGATTAGCTCGTAGCGGGGTCTCGACGATAGCGTGTGACGGCGGTCGTTATACTCGTTCGAATGACATTTGAAGGAGGGGCGAACAAGACTCGATAGAGACGTAATCGTGAATGCGTCCGACGACAGGGAGAGTCGTCGCCGTTACGATTATGAGGCAAAGAGTCAAGTTGAGTCGAGAAGACGTCGAGGTCTTAGTCTATCTCAAGAGGGATCGAGATGGTTGAGCTGATCCAGACCAAGTGCCAAATTGACCAGGGGTGGGCGTTGCTGGGCGGATGGCAGAGGACCAAATCGCACAGGTCTCAAATACGCACAGTACAGTACAGGCAATTGGATGCTAGTAGTACCAAGGAAGAGATAAGGTTACTGAGTACCGTAATGCTAAAACTAGCACACCGAGACAGACAGAAAGCTTTTTTTTTTTTTTTTCCAAGAACGAGAATTGAATTTGCGCCGGGTTTTCCTGTCTTTCAATGCTTTCCCCTTATTCTCTTCTTTATATCGACCACTGGTGAGAACCTGTTCGATATCCGAGGGTGGGCTTCGAGTTCAAGCTAGGTAGTTAGTGCTGCTTGTTGGCTGGATCGAAGAAGGACTGATATGGTGGTCCAATC